GGCCGAGCGGCTGCGGCCCGGGGCCGCTCGGTTCGTCATGCCCGACTCGGGGCCGCAGAGGGAACTTGTATCCCCGCGCTCAGGAGGGATCCCCGGTGAGAGCCCAGGCCCCAGCACGCACGGGAAGGGTTGTAGGGACGCTCACAGCGGGTCTCAGGGCGCCCGCGCCCTGGCATCTCTGGTGGGTTGACCCCGGCTTGGTGCCGGGTGTTTTTCACAGCCGCTTTGTCACTGCCTTCATCAGCAAGGCAGAGGAGAGAAAATATAACGAAATGCTCTCTGGTCGACATAAGAACAGGGAGACATCACTCAGCAGTTACAGTCACGGGCAAAACAAAATCGATTTGGGGAAATTAACTTGATTTATTGCCAATCAAGTCAGACTAGGGTAATGGGAAATTAAACCAAAACTGAAAACACCTTCTCCCCACCCCTCCCTTCTTCCTGGGCTCAATGTGTCTCACAATTTCTCTGCCTCGTCCCCAAAAATGGCACAGGAGGATGGGGAATGGAGGCTATGGTCACTTCATCCCATGCTGTCTCTGCTGCTCCTTCTTCCTCAGGGGAAGGACTCCTCACACCACACAGAAAGAGGATTCTTTTTGCTCTTTTACAGTTTTCTTAGAATTTTACATGTTTACTTTAAAATATCAGTTATTTAAAAACTACAAAACCTCATGGTTACCAGAAAATTACTTTTCCCAGCTCTGCTTCACAGAGTTGCTGTGAAAAAGTACATCACATAGGCTCAAAACTCTTCTTTTTTTTTCCCAAGTAATTCACTTCAGTGAGCTGACAGCTTGTTGACTCACACAGTTCAAACAGTGTTTGTGCAGAACTGAATGAGTTTCCAGCTCTGACATTGCACATGCTCATAGCCAACAGCTGTAGATCCAAGGTCCTCTCATACATATCTACTGAAGGCAGCAGAGTTACACCAGGCATAAATTCTCACTGACTGGATTTCAGCACAGATTTTACATATCGCATATGTCAAGGCCCCGTGACTTTATATTAGTAAGAAGAGTGTTTACTCAAAAAAATAAAGCACAGTTGTGTGTGAGAGTGGTGTTAGGTTAGAAACTAAGTCATCCATAAACCTATTGTACATAGTCATTCCATACTGTGTACGTAGTACTTCCATAATCCATTCTGCAAGCACTCATAAAACTTAAGAAATGCCAACAGCTGTGGTTGGAGTTGGTATCTGGCTGCCTGCTTCAACAGAGTTGCCTGGAAGGGTTCTCCACGGAATGTTAGTCCACCCTAGTGGATGAGGTGAATCACTGCCAGCACTAGCACCTGTTCTGATAAATAACGGATTTTAGTCACACTTTGCTACAGTAGAAATCTGAAAAAAAAAAAAAAAAGAAAAAGAGAAACACAATGCTAAGGAAGAGTAGAATCCTGTGAAACCTTAAGCTGAATGTATATTCAATCCAGAGCCCACCTGATACAATGAACGCTACATAAAATGAACACAATCCTTTGTCTGCATTAATCAAGGATTCAAAGTGGTCCAAACCCACAACTGTTGATTATTTTGTATATTCAGACATTTTCCCGATAGTATGAGAAATCTGAGACTTGTGAAAGTGAGTGGGAGAGCTCAACTGACTTCTGTGGAATTCTGATTCACTCAATAAATTTGATCATATCAACTGCAATGACAGTTCTTATTTTCCTTCAGGAACTTTCAGCATTGATACGTGACTTTGGAGGAGTCTTTATCTAGTCACGTTTCATTTCCATTGCTTGAAGATTTGCTGCTAAGCATTCCAAATTCAAAGCCTGAACAGTTACACTGATGATGTAAGGCCTGATCCTGCCTGTGGTAAGTCAACAAAAATGTTGGCATTAATTCAGCATTTATAAAATGTTTCAGGACAATGTAACATGGAAATCTTTATAAGCCAAATGGTGACAATTTTGAAAGACAAACAAAACTGAAAAAAACCCTTCCCTTGTGCGGACTTATAGCAAGAGTTCCCTAGTTAGTTTTGATTTTTTGCAGTCTCACAGTGAAACTTCAGTGTGACTTTCACCTGCATTTCAGTGGCAACCATATTAAGACTATTGTTATATCAAGACAAATATGTTGAATTATTTAGCATTAAATCAAAAACATGCCTTTCTGTATTCCTCAACACAGCATCAGCTAAAGCTCTACACTGCATCTTTTAAAAAGCTATTACTGAAATCCACAGTAAGTTGTGGTTGTATATACAACTTAGATAGCCAGAACTATAATAATGTTTGGTTTATTATGGCAAATAAGAATTTAATCATTTCATGATGAGAGGACAGTAGCCTAAATAATTTCTATGAGTAATATTGTCACCTTAAATTAATTTTCCTGTTACACCTGCCTCTGTGGAAACTAAATATATGTTAACATTTACATGTTGTATGTAGTTCACTAGTCCAAAAATCTTTATAGAATTTATATATAGAGCAAGATGAAATGTATATTTGAGATATATTTTAGAATTTTTACAAATTACAAGCCCGACTTTTGTTGTTGCTGTCTTCAAACCCTCCCAGCATGGGAAGTAGCAGAAATACATTTAATTGGATTTTCATCATAATCACTACTGAAAGTAATGACAGTTGTGCCTTCATCCAGAAGTCTAGCAGACTCTAAATCTTGGTGTAGTAAATTTAATAGCCAGATGTGATGTGCTACTGTAGAGTGAGGGATACAGGGAGTGACCTCACTATCAGGACCAAGGTTGGAAGTAGGGTGTCCTCAGGTCTGTGTGTAGGTCAGATGTCTCTCTCCCCTTTTTAATGTTTCATTTCTTGTCTAGAGAAATAGATCTCAGACTGGCAGTAACCCATGTCAACTTCAGTTTACCTCATTTCTGCCATAATACACAGCACATCCATGGCACAACCACATCAGCTACTTTGTGCTGGCAGGGTTTTGTCAAGCAGTTTTGTTCACTCTGACTCAGGAAAAACTCCATGGACATCACTGAGAAGTAGAACATGATGAAGGTTGAATAGTGTTTCCAGATGCCTAAAGACCTCCCACAAGGAACAGATCTGGTTTTCTCTGCTTTGGAGATAAACCAGTCCAGGAGATAGCCCCATGGACTGAGGACCACCCAGACTTCTTGGCACTATATGTGCAGCTTGGGACTGCTTTAACTGCTCAGTGGAAATCTCAGCAAGTAGTCACATTGCTGATAGGAATTTAAAATAATATGCTGTGTGTTAGTAATGAAGCTGTTGCAAAAGAAAAAATATTTTGCTTATTTGAAGGTTGAATATTTGCCATTACTTTCAGCAGTAAATATTTTCGCCTGGAACTTCCCAACTGGCTTCCTCCTCTACTCTGAGTCACTCTGTTTTGTCACACTTTAGAAATATTTAAGCCTAGAAAAGTCTTTGAGGCTATTTGTCAACTGTTTCAAAAAGGCAGTTTAAAAGGTACTGTTAGACATGATTGTGTTTTCAGCCACAGTTATCAACCCAGACATTCTTTCAGCCAAGGAAACCGTGTGGAGTTTTTCATCACAAGAAAATGTGATCATCTTCAAACCATAGGAGGATGCTGTCTGATACCAAAATGACACTACAAATGATGTTGAAGTCTCCTCTTCATAAATAGTCCCCATGGTTTCAATGTGAGTTTTGCCAAGAACCTAAATTCTCTATGAAAAGGTGTGATGAAAGTTTTCTTCTGTATAAATGATACACATTGTATTTCAGTGTGAAGTTTAAATGCCTGTAATTTGATTACCTAGTGTTTCATATGCAGGATTATGATCTTTCTGCTTGGAAGTTTAAAATTTGGAAATACGATGAGAGACAGAAGATCCAGTTGAAAGCTGATTCCTCAACAGTTTCTGGACAGACAAACTAATGTTTCTGCATATGCAGCAAAGTCAACATTAAAATATTCTGCCAGCTACAGTTTCACTTGTGACTGTGAGCAATGTTGAATTAAAACTATGCGAAGTTGGTATTTCCAGGTCAAGGCACAGGCATGAGTAAATGTGCTGTGCACACTGTGAATGAAGGATCCTGTCCAGGACACTCTTCAGTCTTCCACTGAAGCACACAGCTTTGTTGTTGGCCGGGGTAGACCAGAGTAGAAATCAGACAGAAAACTTTCCAAGCAGTCCCACACGACTCTCAGACACTTTAACACACGTGTAGTACCAGCAGGCCAGAATTTGGCTCTGCAGGTATTTGTAAGCAGTTATCAATAATTTCAATCTTCCTTGGGTTTTCTGAGCACTGGACTTCATCTTATGCAGCCACAGTAGCAAGAGACAGTGATGTGCAACCAGCAGTGATGCTCTCTTTTTACCCAGTGAGCATCTCCCAAGACAGAGAGCAAGGATTTGTGGTAAAACTTCTCTTTGGACACTTTCAAACATCAGGGATCAGGGTCATATCTCAGTCCAGGAGACAAAACTAGCCCTAATTTGAAGTAAATCTCCTGAACCACATATAATCTAGTTATGGGGCTCTCAATACCAACTGCTTTAATAATTTGACCCCTCCTGTTGTGTTTCATTACTTAATAATGTACATGTAGCCTTGGAAAAATGTGTTTAATCACTGGTGCTAATACAGGCAATGATGTAATGATATAAGCAATGATAACAATTGTCTTTTGAAACAGTAGTGTTGAATTTGTCAATGAAATAAAATAAAAAAAGAGAAAAGGAGAGAGCTGAACAGTTAGACAGTAAAAAGTCACTATGATAAAATGGGAGCACAGTTAAATTACCCAACACCCTATTTAATGAAATATTATAAAGATATTATAAATATCAAAGTAATATTAATAACATTATTATGCAGTATTATATCTAAATAAATAGCTTTATTTTATTCAAATAGGAGACATGTAAAAAGGTCACAAACCTGAATATATATCAGACTAGGTAAGAAATACCACAGCCTCATAATTGAGGTAATACATTCAATAGAAAAGATCTAACAAGCATTTATCTGTTGTAGAAGGTCACACAAAAAGGAAGAAGGAGAAAATGAGCACCAAATGCTGCACCAAAACTGAGCTAATGCAGGAATCCAGGATTGAGCCAGAAAGTTTTCTCATTTGGAAAATTTTAAAACAAGGTTATGAAATAGAATGGGAAAGCACGGAGAGTAGGATAAAAATGAAACTAAGCAGGAGCAAGATGCAACAAACCTAATCAAAATCTCTGTCCATAAATCAGTGCTTTTGAAATATTTTTATGTGATTCATAATCAAATTTGCATCTAAAAAGTGAGAACAGTATTTTCAAAAGGAGCTACTCTTTTAGTTCCTCAGGTACAATATTCAGTACAATAACCTTTTTCATTTAGAAGTCAAATGGAAACACTGAAAAGAGTTGGCTTGAAGCCAGCTGAGGGGCTGTTTTGGTTTTCCTTTTTTTCTTTTCTCACTGACACAAAAATGAAATCAAACTTTTAATGTCAGAGAAAAGATCCAGAAAATCAGAGAACAAATGTCTGATTTAATTCACAGATAATTGTAAAAAAAACCCAAAGGAAATCAAAGTCCAGTTTCACAAAGCTGTCACTGAGACTTCCCTTTTAAAAATATTCAATGTGTTATAGATACTTCCAGAGGAACTGAGAGCTCCAGAAACAAATCCCATCTCCACCTCTTAGGCAAGGTTTTGGTATTGGGGAGCTGTCTACAGGGGTGACTTCTGTGAGAAGTTTTAGAAGCTTCCCCTGTGTCCAACACAGCCTATGCCAGCTGGCTCCAAGACAGACTAACCAAGGCTGAGCCAATTAGCAATGGTGATAGTGCCTCTGAGATAACAAATTTAAGAAGGAAAAAGTTACTGCACAGAAGCAATTGCAACCAGAGAAAGGAGGAATACAATGTGTGAGAAGAACAGCCCTGCAGACCCCAAGGTCAGTGGAGAAGGAGGGGCAGGAGGTGCTCCAGGAGCCAGAGTAGCCGGTGGGGAAGACCATGGTGAGTCAGCTGTGCCCCTGCAGCACACAGAAGTCCATGGTGAAACAGCCTCTGGAGGACTCCATATCTTTTCTGGTTTTATATAGTATGAAGGATTCACATTTGTTGCATAAGTGGCATGATAATACAAAGCAAACTAATATTAATTTAGTATTACCTCACTGTAATAATGGTTTAAGAGTGAGAGTGGCAGGTTATTTCTGATTCCATGCTGTCTCTGTGGTTCTTTGGTACTGTGATAGCTCTTATATGGAGAGAGGCTTATTTATGTTAAACTTCCATTAAATCAGGCTAAATAACGAATCACAAACTCTTGCCTTCTAAAATGCTCAGTTTAATGGATGAACTCAGCCTAAAGCATTATGAGACATTTCTTCAATTACATTGAAATCATCTGCTGGAACTTAGAATCCCTTTGCAAAAGAGAAAACTATGAAAATGTTGACTTTCACAGTTGCACGTTTTTCAGCAAGAACATCTTGTAATCTTTCAATTGTGACATTTTCATCACTGGTGGAAGTATGGATTTGATTTGGCTACTTACAACATTGGATTAAAAAGTAGTACGAGGATATGAATTAAAACAACAAAAAGGAAATAGCTTTATATTCAACTAGAACTTTATTAAAAATCCTATAAATAAACATCCACATTTCCAAAGGTAGCTAGTTATGCTAATGTTTGATTTGACACATCAAAGCAGACTCAGGGCTTCACAGCACTGACATTCAGCAATCTGTAAAAAAAGACAACATCTGCTCTAAGGATGGATGAGACATCACATAGTGAGCCCTCCAAACCACTGGTCACTTTTAGGTAAAGGCAGTGAAAGGAAGAAGCAAAATGCATTTACTTAAGTAAATTCAGCAATATGAATTATTTTTTTTTTCTTTTTCTCTCTTCTATTTATATCTCCTGCATATTTTCCCTTCATTTTTTGCAGTTTCTATCTCTGTGCTCCTGAACTGTATTCTCCTCTTTTCTGTTTCCTTCAGGGATTTCTAACCTTCTGTATGTCTCCTCTTTCATTCCCCTTATCAGTGCTTCTTCCTTTTCCTTCACTGGTTCCTCTCCCTCTGGCACTAAACACAGTGGGCTCTTCTTCTCTCATCGTCCCTTCCCTTTTGTCCATTTCTATAGCTTATACCCACTCCATCTCCCCACTAGCCTCTCCTTTCTTCCCCAGATCCTTACACAGAAAAGAGTATATGAATGGAGATGGTTTGGTGAACACAGGAGCTGAAGCCAGATTGCTCCCAGTTTTTCTCCCATTATGTATCTTTTGTGCCACCTCTTCTCTCATGATGCCTGCCTGACCACTGGAAAATAGGCAGCATAGCTAGTGAGGAGGGAACCACTTGTCTCCAGCAGCAGTCCCTGGGAATGAAGGTACATCCAAATTCCCAAAGGAAAATCAGCAGATTTGCAGCACCTACATCAGTCTGAGTAACCTGCTCTGTTTTAAAGCTCTTCTCTTTTCATGGTTCAGAACAGAAAATGGAGATCATGATCTTTGAAAACTCTGCTTGCCTTCACTAGAAGCCTGAAGTACATGAGCTTTAAAATGATGCCAACATCTCAAAACTCTGAGTCCTTCTGTAGTTGTTAGATCTGCTCTATAACTAAAGCATTCCTGCAAGTAAGTAACTCTAAAGTAAAGGCAGCATGGCCAAAGGCTGTACTGGTTAAACACTTCTTATACCAGTAATAGCTTAATCCATGCTGCTCTTGTAACTAAGATGCCACTATCTCCTGATCTCACAAGATCAAAATAGGAAGAAAGAGGTGCTAGTCATGCAGGTTCCTGTATTTTTAAATCACTATCCCCCAAGAATGTGGAAAGGAGCTTCTTGTAGTGGCAAAATATGCTGAATTCATATATTCTGCAAGCTCATGGCACTAAAAATATTCCTCTTAAAAAGCAAATGAACTCTGTTTCATTAGGGTTTAAAGAGAGTAACATTAGGAAAGAATGTGGGCACACACTAAGCTAAAATCTATAAAGAACAGGTCTGCTCTACAGAAGAACCACACTCTACAGACTGTAAAGAGAGAAACGTGTTTCCCAGATCACCAGCTGACCATTGCAGGCAAGTACTAAAATACCTGAAAGAATACCTAAATCAAGCTCCTTTCAGGCAGTGTGCTGGAGGAGTGCATTTCCAAACAATTGGATTTCTTAAAGCTGGATGCTAAGAACAGTAAGGTTCATAATGAACATAAAACCGACACCATCTATCAGCAGGAACCAAGTGATTATTCCACAAAATAGATGTGGAACCTTTACAAAAGGTTTCAGAATATGAAATAAGGTGACTCAACCCAGCAATCCTGAACAGATTTCTTCTGCAAAGATTTCAAAGTCTGTTGCCTACTTGCTAAAGGAAGAGATGGGTTAGCTCTGCAGAAGGATGCCCTGCAATTTAAAAATTAGGTGTTATTGTGAAAGTTTCTTATTAATGACTCTTACTTTTCGTTCTTGCATGTCTTGAGTAGAACTGAGGTTGTAAAAGTAAATCGTTGCTGCTCTGTGACTCTGGTTTCAGGCTTCTAATGGAGAAATTGTTCTTCACATTCCAAACTCCTTCCAGAGCCACTGTTAACAATTTGACAAAATAATAGCTTTATAACTGATTACTTCATTTGGTTCTAGAATTAATATAAAACTACACAATAATATTTTTCCATAGTTAATGAAAAGAGATTGGCATCTTCAGAGAGCAATTCAGATTGCTAAAGGTACACAACGCTCACGTCTGTTTATAGAAGCTCTTAGGACTACTCAGGCACCTAACTGAAACAGGATACAGCTTGTCTATAATAAATAAGGAACAGCAGTAATACCACTGATGCAGTCAGCATCCTTTTTTTGGTCATACTGGAATACTAAATGCCCTCATAAAAATATAGAAAACAACACTACCCACTCCCCCCCCAAAAAACCCAACCCAAACCAAAAGCTAACCAAACAAACAAAAAACCAAAGCCATCACCAGCAGAACAAAATTAAAAGCTAATTTATTTTGTGGAAAGGTTACAATTTACTGGCCATCTAATTTATTTTAAACAATACACTTTAGTAGTCTAAACTGTGTAAATCGCCCAAGCCACTTAGTAAGCATCTATAATTGTCCAAACAGCTGAAAAATTCATTACTGGCTGAATAATCTGTACACCAGCATCTGTATTATCATTTTTATCATTTATCATTGTTTTGTTATGCCTACAACATTATGCTGTACATACAATTTCTGTACTGAGCTTGCTATAAATCCATATTACACAGTTGTGCAACAAATATTTGTGTAGTGTTTCTCTATTATCTCGAGTACTTTAAATCTTTGTAGCATACATTTCTTTGGGACACTCCTCAAAAATCATGAGAATATATAAGGTAGCATGCATTTATTCAACCTGAATAATTTCAGACTGAAATATTCCTGACAATTTTGATCCATTGGCAGGAAAAATAATTGTGTTTAGCTCTTAGTAACATTAGGCACATGAGCAGATTGAGCAGACCAGTGGTAACATCTGCAACTCAGCTCTGTGTTCAGGACCCCTTCTCAGTCAACAGGAAAAGAACAGGCACTTTTAAAGCATGACACATACAAGGACAGGTGTCTAGGACAAGTCAAGAGAATGTCCAAAGTGCCTTCTTTCTTCTGCTTACTACACACAGAGGCTACCTAAGTCAGTAATTTGCAGGTGTGTGCTGTAATTTCCTACAGAGCCTAACCACAGTAATAAGAATTACAGGCTCAAATGGTCTTTACATCTGCTGGGTACTGATTACATCACCTAATTTAGGTACTTTTTTTGTCTGTGAATCCAACTGTTTTCAATTAATTTTGAGTGAGTTTAGAAATGGGTCTCAATCAACGCAAGTGAAACAGTATTCTAAAAACTACAGCATTTCTTTCAAAGAAAAAGGTAACAAAACCCCCCTACTGCTTGGCAATTGTTTCTGGTTTATTAAACTGATATATCATATGGATGTTCTCACGTGTCTCATAATTTCTTTCCAAAACAATAGAGAAACAAGTAATATATGCAATTCTGCTGTTTCTAAATTTTCTGCATGCTATTACATAAATGTTCTGTAATTTTGCCACAGTTCCTCAAAACAGTCACTTGTCCTGAAAAACACTTGCCATTTGCTGATAAAGAGGATTACCTGCAGCTGGATGTTTAACATTGCATTCTTCTTCCTGAAAATGAAAGTGCTCCTCCAGTATTTCTTTAACTCTCCTAGGTGGCTCAACATATACACATTTCTGCCCTGTTAGTAAAATATATTACAAAACAAGTTATTACAAATCCCCTGAATGCCGATGCACTTTGCTGAATGCAATTGTCAAGCTATGCTACTCTGCACCCGTCTCGAATACATCGTGAACCAAATAATTTACAAATACGCGGTAGTGTTCAGCCAAGCCCTACTCCCCAGTGCTGTGCAATTCCTGAGGACAGGAGGATGGTACAGGACAGCACCCTGGCAGGTACAGCGCTGGTAGCCAAAGCCACCCTAGGGCCACTCGGGAGACAGCCACTGTGCCTCCCCGTGACAGACATCCCAAGGCAGCGCCACAGATGGAGAGGCATCCAAAAGATGTCCTCGCTGCAGGAAGTCTCCAAGGAGCTGAAGAGGGGTGCGGACACCCCATGGCACCAGGGCCAGCACCTGCGGCGGTGCTGGGGGACGTCAGTGAGGAGCCGCGGGGAGCGGCTGGGCTCCCGAGGGGACACGGCGGGGTGGGCATGGGCAGGGGCTGAGGTGGCCGGGGGCCGGGGGCCGGGGACGGCCGTGCTCACGGGGCTGCTCGCCGCGGACGTCGCTGCTGGGCTCCC